GGGGGGGGGGGGGTTTGGGGAGGTAAAGAGATGGCTTGCGAGGTTACGTATTGGCCCATTTACACAATACGACTAGACGATTCTTATCCTTGTAATGCGTGTAAAGATGTGACATTTCAAATTTCACCACAGGAATAGTGTGGACAGGAATTTATTTTATTAGGAATAGTGACGTCAGTAGAATGACAATCATTACAGCTAGTTATATGGTGTAAATGGGCCCTATAAGCTCAACTTGTGTATAATGGCTGTAATTTCACCACAGGAATAGTGTGGACAGGAATTTATTATTATTAGGAATAGTGACGTCAGTAGAATGACAATCATTACAGCTAGTTATATGGTGTAAATGGGCCCTATAAGCTCAACTTGTGTATAATGGCTGTACATCCCTGGTATTTGTCGTTGCCTTTTTACGTAGGTTTGATCCAGATCCTGTGTTCCCATTGGTACTAGATAACAACACAGATGATAATCTTAATGGCAAATACATGCATTTCTTAACGGATAGAGACTGCAATAATGGCGAAAATCATAGTACACAAGGAGATTGCCATGCGAAAGCACCAATCCATATTTCTGAGACGAGATCAGTTCAGGTTGGTCGACATTCTGCGATTGTTTATCCTTAAACAAAACACGTTGCATGCTAATAGCTAATGTTGCAAAATTGCCGAATTTTGAAGTAAACACCCAACGAAAATAAGTTAATGATACGCTAACCAATGTTGTAACCAACACATCCGCTGGAGGGGCAGTTGATATCCTATACGTTGTATATGTAAAAATGTGTAGATCTTTTAAAAAGTAACTACAGTACACGCTGAGAGGCAACCTCGTTCCAGATCCTGGGTACGAGTTTGGCCGAGAGGGAGGGATGGGTGTTACTGTGCAACGTAGCAAGTAAAGAAACGCAACAAATGTAAAATTTCAGTTACCCAATTTACCCTTCCAGATAGTACGCCCTGATGATAGTACGTCACTTTGGCTATAGCGCCTTGTTTTTTTGTATGTATTAAGGTCCAAAGTCTCATCACGAAAGCGAGGCTCTTCAGCTAAGGTGATGTGCTTTTTGGAAAGGTGTATTAATGAATCTTTATAGCAGACAATCAAATGGCCAGAACATTTATGTTAAACCACTAAATTGACGTCATTCATACAATGAGTAAATCAGTATTTGTCATCTTCATGAATGGCGATGTTGTGTTTGCACAAAAAAAACGATATACAGCTATTTTAATTAAGGTTGTTCACTAGCAAAGCGGAAAAGTCGAATACGAGCGCGAAAGGCTGCTGGGAATCGCTAAAAAATTAATGAATTTATTAGCGATTCCCAGCAGCCTTTCGTGCTCGTATTCCACTTTTCCCCTTTGCTCGGGGGACAACCTTAATTGAAATAGCTGTATATTGTATATTAAGTCAAATATTCATGCATAAATTATACAATGGGCTAATTACGTATTTAGTTTTCTCAGCCCGGCAGAGCAAGACAAACGTTTGCCAATTTCTCATTCAGCAGGAGTTTTTGTCCAAATTGAACCAAAATTTTTAAATTTTAAACAAAAAATTAAAATCAAAATTAAGGATTAAAATCCTTGGCCTAATACCATTAGCCCTACAAATGTTCGTATTACAGTGTAATACGTTTGTATCGTGCTAACAAACAAACAAACAAACAAACAAACAAACAAACAAACAAACAAACAAACAAACAAACAAACAAACAAACAAACAAACAAACAAACAAACAAACAAACAAACAAACAAACAAACAAACAAACAAACAA